ATGGAGATGACGTGACACAAAAGGCAACATACTTTGAAGATGCAGTCAAGGGTCATTCGAAATGGCAAACTCGAATTCTTCAAACCATCCGGGGGTCAAAAGGAAAAGGAGGGCGGGACTGGGAAGAAAAGACGGGAAAATGTCTTCAAAAAGCAAGTTGTGGTGCTGTAACCACTTTGTCTCGATCCACCCAGGGGTCGAACCTGGAACCTCCTGATTACTCGATCCTTTCCTGGGATGTCCCAGAATGAGGAGTCGTAGTCAGACGCTCTGCCATTGAGCCAGCGGACCTTGTTGAAAGCTAGGTGAGGGATTTCTCATTATCATTGGGGCGAGGGGGGGATTTAGACGAATTGAAAGCTCCCGGTTAAGTTGCCGGCTAAAGACAATGGACGAGAATCGCTGCCTACCTAACCCTAACCCAGTCATGCTGTATCTGGAACCATATTCCAAACGAGGGACTTTGTCCAGGCACCAGCACTTCTTTCCCGTATCACCACCGTCATCCAGCATCCAGCATGTTGCCACTGCTTCAAAATGTCTGAGCACGCTCCGAGTCCTTCACCCTCCGCAAGCGAGGACTCATCTTCGTGTTACATAGACGAGATATCATGGACAGTCTGTTTCATGGAGCTACCTCCAGAACTCCATGCCGAGGTGTTCCTTCATTTACCAAACCAGATGGCCGCAGTTGCGCTCCGTCTCTGCTGTCGTCACCTCAACGGGGTCTTCCTCCAAAACGAGAAGAGGATTCTCTCGTCCCTACGCGAGCGGCTCATAGCTCCGTTCCGGGAGTTCTACGACTTTCTCCAGCGTCTGAAGCTTCCCGCCAACTCGGTAAAACTACCGCCCCCTTCCGGCTGGCCGAACATAACGGCTGTGGCCTGCGCTGGCTTTGACAAGACGCCATTTGCAATCGATGTCTTGAGACACCTCCCTTACATCGACGAATTGGAGGACAGGTCCAATATGACCAATATCGACTATAAAAGCAAGGCGGTGGACTATTCGAAATTTACCTCTAATGACTTCAGCACGTGCGGCAAGGAGAGATTCTGGGCTTTGGAGTGGCTGGACGCAGACGAGGAGGAGTGCCTTTCTAGAATCCAGCATCTTGTCATGATCGCTGAAGGATACGAGAGCGGCGGCACCGTTCTCATGTTGGACACCTTCACCGGTATCATCTTTGAGGAGATACTGAGGATGAATCCAGGCGCCAGGCTCCCTGCCGATGAATACTTTCGGTCGAGGATGGAGCGACTTCGAAAGCTGGACCAAGTTTTCCTTCCGGGTTTCGAACCTTGGGAGGGAGCTGGGGCCATTCCCGGCGACAATCTCGAGGCCGCATATGACCCCGACCCTATGGAGAGGCAAGGGATACCCGGGGGGCGTTTCGGCGATGATGAAAATGTTTTGTGGGTGAAGCACTTGCATCGAAAGTTCGGCTGGCCGGGACCTGACTGGAAGAAAGAGGAGTGCATGCAGGCTATTATGGAATTCCTGTATCTTCAGCGGCTGTAGGGGCTGCCAATTTAGTAAACTACCGCATATGGAGTTTGGCATGCAGTGACCAGCTGCTAGGTATGTAGGTACCTAGGTAGGTAGTTATCGAGGAGCATTCTAGTTCTCTAGAGCACTGACAAACATGTTGGCATCTACCAATGTTACCGGCTATATGTCACAACAACACAATTCTCCATCGCTGTTGGGAGCTACAGGTTCTAGATGGTTTGGGAGACATGAGTGCACGAATTGTGCAAGACACGAATAACCACTAGTCCAGTGTTCTGTCGATTCTCTTGTTATCGGTGCTGAATCCGGAGGCAGCTAGAATGCCGCAGGGTGGTCCAGAACCGGATCACCCCCTGTATAGAGGAAATAAAAACAATTCCCGCCGAACACGCCAATCTCCAATCCGCCCATGCGCGCCCGCGACCTTAGAACGGATACGCTGTACCGTTAACGTGGGTTCCCCTCGCTCCCCCTTTTCCACAGAAACGACGACCAAGTCGATCCAGAAGCTTTTGATGATGCCTTTGCTGCATCCTCCATTTTTCTGAATGTGGCTTGCTGTAACACCATCCAACGGCCCTCCATCTCCTCTTGGCTGATGGCAGGCTTCCCACCAAGAGGATCCGTATCTTTATCCTCTGCGCCGGCGTAAAAGCCATCTTTCACCCCGAGGACCTGGCATAAAGCAGCTGACTTGCTCAAAAGCCACTCTCCATGCTTCAGGCCATGCTTCCAATGGTCTGGCAACGCGGAGTAGCTAAGGTAGGCGCCCAGCAAGGCACCAGCAAAGCATGCGTTGGTATCGGCGTCCCCACCACGCATGATAAGATCCGTGATGAGCTGCTCAAACAGGAGAGTCCGGCCTAGCAACCCGTTCTTGCTTGCCACCAGCCTTCGAATCGCCATGCGCAAGAGAACCACCCCCGATCCGAGCGTCTTGTACACATACCCGATCGCGGCCTGCTCGTCCAGTTTCAGGTCGTCCAGCCCACCCCCAGCGCCGATATGCCTCCACAACTCCTCACTGTCCACCTTGTCCGCTTCTTGCTGTGTAGCCTGAAACCACTTCAGCGCACGCCCCATCACCGCATCCACATCCTCCTCCACCACCACCTCACCCCTCGCCAGCGCCCTCACCAACCCCGTCCCCAAAACACACGCCAGCACACACCGCGGATCAAAGTGCGTCACCCGCGACAGCGTCGCAGCAATCTCAAACGCCTCCTCCTCGGCCCGAAACAAACAAATCACCCCGAGCGGATGCGTCCTCATCAGACTCCCATTCGGCGCCACGCGCCGGCCCGTCCGCTCCCAGTACTCTCTCGCCACGCGCTCCGGTTCGGCATCAAACCCCGCCGACGCCACCACCGAGCTCACCAGGCGCCCCAGGCCCAGCGGCATGGTCTCGAGCGGCCGGAAGCCCTGGCTCACCCACACGCGCAGCCGCGCCGCCAGGGCCTGCTGCGTCGGCAGCGGCAGCGGCAGCGGCAGCGTCCCCTCTCCCCCCTTTGAGGTTCCACCCTTTCCCCCACCATCACCATCAGAACCCGAACCCGAACCCAACCCAAACTCAAAACCCGACACGGCCCCCCCGGGGCTGCGCGCCGTGTGCAAAAACGCCAGCAGCACCAGCAGCGCGTGGTCGGTGTCGTCGGTCCAGTCGCCGGGATGCTTGGGCGCGCGGTGCAGGTCCAGCTTGAAGGGGGTTGGGGTTGCGGGGGAGTGGCCCGGGCCGCCGCCCAGCGTGAACTTGGCCGTCGGGTAGGCGGCGGCGGCGGTGGCGGCGCTGAGGAATTCCGTGTAGAGGCCGATGGCGTCGCCGAGGGCGGAGCCGATTAGCACGCCGGCGATGCGGTCTTGGAGGGTGGCGTGGAGGAGGTGGGTGGTTGCGGAGGGGGGAGGGTCACGGTGGTGGTGGGGTTGGTCATGGTGGTTGTTGGTTGTTTATGTACTGTGATGTGGAGGTCGATGGTTGGGGTTGAGTGATGTGGTGGAATGGGAGGTGGTGGTGTGAAAGTGGGTTGGCTTTGGAGTGGTTAAGTTATTCCACGATCTGGGATCAGGGATCAACTTCGGACAAGTCACGGATCAGCCGCACTGCCTGCACGTGGTGGCTTGGTGTTAGGCAACCATAATAGGCATTCTTGTAGCCGCCTGTCTGCACGAATAGACTATTCGGAATAGTACCCAAGTTTACAGCTTAAAGCGAGAGAGCGCTGTTGCGGCCGCCGAATCCGGCTGGCGCGTGTCGCCATTTTCGGCGCCCCCACCTCATTCCAAGGTCAGAACCCCCCCCCCCCCCAAATCAATAGGTCATCTTCATCACTAACCTTCGGAATCCGAAAGCGAGGCTCTTTAAAGCTTCCGTCACCCAAAAGTACCACGGCAACAAGCTCACCCATCGGCCGTCCTTTTAGACGAAGCAGCGCTGTGTTTCTCCCAAGCAGTCTGCGCAAGCCCCAAATGTACTCACTCTGGCAAACCCTTCAGTCCCTCGCCCAAACAATATACGTAACCGCAACCGGCCATTCAAAACGCCAAAGGCTCCACCTCTTAGTCACCGGCCGCAGCAACGCCGGCAAGACAACGCTGCTGCACTGCCTGCGCAATCCGGACCCCACCTCAGTCTCCCGACTCTCCCCTTCAGGGACTTCAGGAACCGACATATACCTCGACACCAGCGACGGCTGCCGTCTCATGATAGACGCGGTCGACTTCGGCGGCTTCAGCTACCGCGACCACCCCGGTGGCATCCGCCAGTTGCGGCGCGACTGTCTTGCCGCTGGCGACGTTGATGGAGTAGTTTTTGTCGTGGACGCTGCGGATTATGAAGATGGGCTGAAAGAGGCGAAAAGGGAGTTCGGGGAGCTTCTTCAGGTACTTGGTGAGATAGAAGGGCGAGTCTGTGCTGAGAAGCTGATGCCTGTTCTGGTGCTTGGTAACAAGATTGATAAACCTGGTGCGGTGGCGGAGGAGGAGCTGAGAGACTTGCTGGGGGGCTTTTCGAGTCCTGCAGGTGTAGGGAATGAGATAAGCCGATGGAGAGAAGCCTCACGGCCGGTTAAGGTGTTTATGTGCTCGGTGGTGATGGGGCAGGGGTATAAGGAAGGGTTTGTGTGGCTGGCGAACAACGCTTGAGCGACCGCCGATGTTTTTGAGGACGAGTGGCTAAGTGAAGAGGATAGGTCAGGTTGGCGGGCGGAGGAATTACATACCTACTATTAGGGGCTGCCTCGACGGCTGAGGAGTCCTAGGTACCAAAAGCGACTCTTCTGGAAATACTCCAGCTGTAATTTCCCAGTTTCCCTAATTTATTAGCTATTTAGGATTCCTAGCCCCTAGCTTTGATCAAGCGCCGAATGCATTAGTGTTGTTGTAAAAGTTAAATTGGGCAACATCTATGTTGTCGCTGGTGTTCGCCCCTGAGCAACCAGAAAGGGGTACTTCAATCACACGCCGGAACCGGCTGTCAACAAATTATCTAGCCTGCCCGGCTAGCTCAATCGGTAGAGCGTGAGACTCTTATTCAAAAGGTTCACATCTCAAGGTTGTGGGTTCGACCCCCACGTCGGGCTCAATTCCCGGCAGCGATGCCTCTCTTTTGTCATTTTTCCTTGTGGCGATCCCTTAGCGTCACAGTGGGGACTCTTTTTGGTTTCTCGTCAAACTCCGGGAGATTGGGGGCCCGAGATACCTAACAGAACTTGGCTTCGATGACATGCTTATGTAGGTAGGTAGGTATATTATCCATGGATGGTTAAACTCTAACCCTGTTCATTACACCCCTCGGCTCACGGTGACGACAAGCAAGCTCCCTCGGTACCTGGTACTTTGGTCGTCTTTCCTCCACTGCTTATCCAGGTTTAAACTTTTTCCATTAACGCCCTGTTCAGAGCACAGCCTGTGAATGTTACAAATCATGAACCAGGTCAGGGCTTTCGGCAGATAGATTTCCCACGTGCAAGCAACGCGCTACCCATCAATGGCAGTATTGTCCCGGTTTCCCACTCTCGACCTTTGCCTGACTAATGAACTGTGGCTCCTACAGCCTACACAGTACAGCCTAGGTGCCACTGGTTCACTTGACGTATCACTTTGCAGAAGGTACCGTGTAAATCACCTTAACCCGGTGGATCACAAAGAATCTTGGCCCCGATGTAGAGATAGTCCTGTGGGACCAACGGAGAACAATCCCCGGTCTGACTAATTTCATGTTCTTGCCCGATCGAATTCGGTAAATATTGACATGTTCGGGATTGTTTGTCAATCACTTATCAGGCCGCCGTGGAAGTGGCGTCCAGTGATGGCCACATGGCATATCATGGGGCCATCACATGAGGCAGTCGGCCCGAGGGAGTCGATCCCAGGGAGGAATAAAACCGGGATCGTGTTTGCGTCTCGGAACCTCAGCAGAAGTCCATGAACGCCTCCCAAATCTCACCCCAACACCTACCAAACAACATGTCTCTCCCAACCTCCCAAAAACAGTGGCTCATCCAGGGCACCGGCCAGGGGTTCGACAGTCTGGTCTACCAGGATGCCCCCATCCCCCAGCTCGGCGCTGACGACGTACTCGTCCAGTTGCAGGGAGCATCCCTCAACTACCGCGACCTGCTCATCCCCCAGGTAAGTTCCTCTTCCCCAATCATCACTGCCTCCCAAACCACTCACTGACCCACCCCAGGCAAAATACATCTTCCCCCTGAACCTCCCCATCGTCGCGGGCTCCGACGGCGCGGGCACCATCCTCGCCGCCGGCAGCAACGTGACGGAATGGGCGGCCGGCGACCGGGTGCTCGCGCTCTTCAACCAGGGCCACCAGAAGGGGGCCATCGACACGGCGGCCGCGGGCACGGGGCTGGGCGGGTGTGTCGACGGCACCCTGCGGCGCTTCGCCGTCTTCGCCCGTTCTGGTGTCGTGCGCATGCCGGCCAACTTGGACTTTGTCGAGGCGGCCACGCTGGGCTGTGCCGCGCTAACGGTGTGGAATGCATTTTATGGGTTGAGGAGGCTGCGGAAGGGGGAGACGGTGCTGGTGCAGGGGACTGGGGGGGTTAGTTTGTTTGGGTTGCAGGTAAGCCGGGTTCTTTTGCTTTTAGGGGGCTAGGCTAACGGGGTGTTTTAGTTTGCCAAAGCGGCTGGTGCCACTGTCGTCGCGACTACATCGTCTGCTGAGAAGGCCGACATCCTCAAGAAGCTCGGCGCCGACCATGTCATCAACTACCGCGAGAATGCCAATTGGGGGGAGACGGCGCGCGAGCTGACACCAAACGGTGAAGGCGTTGACCATATCATCGAGATCGGTGGCGAGGGCACCATGACGCAGAGTCTGCGCGCCATCAAGATGGAGGGCATCATCTCGGTCATCGGAATCATATCGGGCACTCCCCCCACGGACAGCATCATCGAGTCGCTAGCGCGGCTGTGCACGGTCCGTGGTGTGTACGTTGGGTCGAGGGAGCTGCTAGAGGAGATGGTTCAGGCGATCGAGAAGCATGATATCCACCCGGTGTTGGACGAGAAGAAGTTTACGCTGGAGACTGCGAAGGAGGCGTATGAGTACATGGTGAGTCTCGAGTGGTTCAGTTAACGAACGACGCTAATGCCGTAGTAGTGGGCGCAGAAGCACTTTGGCAAGCTCGGAATCAAGATCGAGTAGGTAATGGGCTGGGTAGGACTATTGACTCGAGACTCGACGCCTATGGTATTTAGTGTCCGTGGCACGGTAAGAGAGACGGGAGAAAGAGTTTACATGAAGATGTCAACGAAAGGACCACGGAGGAGCCAGGCAGTTGCAAAAACTTTGTTTCGAAGCGCCGGCATTATGTAGATGCTCATGCGCTCGGGCGCTGGCGATTGTGCATTTGAGCCCGCAGTCCACATCAGGGTGGGAAGTACTGCACCCGCGACCCATTCGGTTTATATTGATGAAATTGGCGAGCGTCTCATTAGTCTCACTAGGCCATTCACACCTAAAGTTACTGAGTTCGTGTACATTTTCATGGATGAAATATGAGCGCCCTCCTATCGCCTGTATATTCTAAGGTACCTATGTATGTACCAGTATTAGTTTATAGTGTTGGTTATATTCTAGTTATTATAGTGCATTACCTATACTTTAACATTATTTACCTATTTATACTTACTATAAAATTTCCTTTTGTTTCTATTTTACTTTTTTCTATCTTTTATTCTTCTACTTTCTATTCTACTTTCTATTCTAGTTTCTATTCTACTTTCTATTCAACTACTATATATCGAACTATCTCGACAGCTAGGAAGTCCTACACACAGCGAGTTTACTCTCTTCGGACTTCGGTTGTAAATTCAGTGCTCAACTACGTTATCAACAGCCTACAATACATTTGAACATATAATAGGTATTTAGTACTCCTAGCCCCTAGGCTTAGTCAACGGCTAAATGTGTTAGTGTTGTTGTAGAAGCTAAATTGGGCCATTTTGTGAGGGTAGGAGATGTATTGTCTATTGGGATATGTAGATCCTACGCTCAAGAGGCAAAGTGCTGTGTGAGTCTGGTGATTTCCATCGCGAGGTTATTGGCCCGCTCTCGCTCTTGATCGAGCAGTCGTTCTGCGAGATCAGCCCGCAGCCGCTCTTTTTCAGCCCGCAGCCGCTCCTGCTCCCGCCCTTGCTCAACCCGCTCCCGCTCCTGTTCAGCCCGCTCTCGTTGTTGATCGACCTGTCTTTCTGCGAGGTGGGCCCGCTCCCGCTCTCGCTCAGCCCGCTCTCGCTCTTGATCTACCTGTCGTTCTGCGAGACCAGCCCGCAGCCGCTCTTTTTCAGCCCGCAGCCGCTCCTGCTCCCGCCCTTGCTCGACCCGCTCCCGCTCCTGTTCGGCCCGCTCTCGTTGTTGATCGACCCGTCTTTCTGCGAGGTCGGCCCGCTCCCGCTCTTGCTCAGCCCGCAGCCGCTCCTGCTCCCGCCCTTGCTCAGCCCGCTCCACTGACTCGCTAGCTTCGGTTATTTTGCGCCTCCACTTTGCCTCTTCCTTTGCTAAAGCTTGTTCTATGTTCGCGCATTCTCTGGCTTCCGCCTCGCGTTTCGCCGCGGCTTCTTGTTCCTCATGGCCGGATTGAATCTATATAAAAGGAAATGTAAGTGGTAAGTATATATAGGTAGGTTGGGGGGGGGGGGGGGGGGGCAATCGACTGAGCCGTATTATAGTTTGGGTTCCAACATACCTTTTCTAGAAGCCCCCGGACCTCTCTCTCCCGGGCGATACTGTCGTTAAGCAGCTTCTGGTGTGTGGGCATGTCGTGGATTATGCTGAGGAACTGCGCCACGTTCCAGCCGTCCTTTTCGATGGCCTGGCGTTCCACCGCCGGGAGTTGCGCGAGTTCTTCTTCACTCCACGATTTCTTCTGCTTACTGTCGTACTTTTGGACGAGCTCCCCTTCCATCTCCGCTAGCCGTCGTGGGTAAGGATCATCCTCGCCGGCGCGCGTAGGGTCGGGGCCTCCATTGCCAGAGTCCATCAACGACTTCCGGGTGACGCCGCGATATGCGATGTAGTCGACATTGGCCAGCCTGAAAATGCCTTTTTGCGGCAATGATTCGCCAGCCTTACAGGCCTCCGCTTTGCCAATCTCAGCAAGAACTTCAAAGGTGGAGTCGGCATACCAGTAACACATCGTCGAATAGACATGGTACATTGGGAAACTTAGACTGTGTGTCTCCAGTACGGATGCTAGCTGTAGAATGTTCGGGCCAGGAAGGGGAAAGTCGGCGGTCCTAGCAGCAATATGGGTTAGTATAGCTGACCGGGGATAGATCGCTAGAAGATAGAACCACGTACCTTAAAAGATAGGCCTGCTTGGACTTGACAAACTTTGAAAAGTTTTCCTCTGTCAAGTACGACACTCTGTCAACCGACTCACAACGGCGGCCGGACTTGATCTCAAGTCCGCGTTGCTTCTCGGTCTTGCCACCGGTGAGCGGGAGATCGCGCTCCCATACCATGATAAGCGGCTTATCGCTCCCCTCGTCAACAAGGTCGGCCCGAATAAACTCGTGGTTCCAGTCCGTGAGGCACTTGTAATGCGAGATACATCGTAGACGGATATTGTCAACCTGATCGAGGATCGAAGAGTCGTGCTTACCCCCCTTGAACCGGGGTAGGGAGCCTAAAAAGGCTACCTTGACGAGGTGTGCTCCGTGAGAAAACACCCGGCACCAGTCGGGCCATTCTTCGGCGGAAGGATACTGATCCATCGGGGGGACAATCTTGTTGGGATCTGTCGAGGGACCCCAGGCGAGTTTCAACGCTCTAGGGAGAACGTCTTGAAGGAAAGAGAGGGGAGATGGGGTCGTAGACAGTGTCATATTGAACCAACTGGCCGTGATGAAAGAAAGAAGCCCGCTATTAAAAGCTTTTGTGATGAGTGCTTTGTAATGATTGTGTTGGATGTTGATGATGTTTGTTTGGTTCGTTGGTGCGTGTTGGAGTTGTAGGAGTTAGATAGACAAAACAAAAGGATCCCTGGAAACCCACGTGCCTTGGAACAATCAAGCAATCTTACTAGTTTGTTTGATAGTGCCAGATAAAGGTACCTAG